ATAGATATACAGATATATTGGTTTGACGATCCTATTGAAAATGGCCGAATGGTGGCAATTTTTGTGCTAAAAAAACCATCAAATATCGAGCATTTATGGATGGATTTCGTTCAAACTTGGTACATACGTTAGACATTATGTGTTCCTGATGCCAATCAAATTTTATATATTTATTATATATCATGTTATAGATATATACATGTATTCAAAATGGCTGATTTTGTTTTAATTAATGCTGTTCCAGAGCAATATTTCCCAATATGGATAAGTACTTGTTTGACGATCAGATACAAGATGTCAATCATTTCAATGTTAAACAATCATCATAATCATATTCCTGACATGGTTATATTCCAGCTATATTACTATAAACAAAACTATATATCATAAATTTGATAACTAACGGGGACTGTGCCATGCATGGCTTGTTTATACTGTACTTCCCCAATCACAATCACGAGTATAAGCCCATCCCTCTGTTTTTAGACATTTAACGGGTTGAGGGCATCCCCGAGTATAGGCCCAGGGTGTCTAACCGGCCTCAATGATATTTAATAAAATATGCATGTAAAAAGTGTATTTCATTGCATAAAAATTGTGATTGGTACATTAGTTTGGTTCCAGTTTTTACGAGAAAACTCGCATTAATTTCAGAGAGCATGGCTGGCGAACGTACGGAACATGGTTCGCACGCACCTTTTCTATTCTATTATTTACTCAGAACGAACCTTTATGTTGCAATACTGAAGTAAATCAAATTTCTTTTGAGTAGTAGTTTTCGAAACGCCAAAAATGTAATAGTCAATGTAATAGTTGTGAAACTTTAGTTACTTTAGCTACTACACTGTATATCCAGTAACTGTATTGTTTTTTGTTTCAGTTATCCGTGTTCAGCAATGACAAGAAATTGTTCACACAGCAAGTAAAATATGAGCCATCATGTGTGTCTATTCATCCAGGACAAATTGAGATTGCAGTCGGTGATAGTCAGGTGAGTGTCAGGTGATAGTCAGGTGAGTGTCAGGTGATAGTCAGATGAGTGTCAGGTGATAGTCAGGTGAGTGTCAGGTGAGTGTGATATGTTGTCGATATGTGACATTTCCAAGATGGCGGACATGAACAAAGTTTGTATTTACATTTCAATAATTTTCTTGCTCAGTTCTGAACTTATGCACTCAACTATAGAATCAGGAACATGTATAATAATAAGATTATTACAAGGAAAAGTATTTGCGACATCCTTGTATTAATTTCATATTTTGATAATTTAGTTTATTGGACAGTTTGTATTTGTGAAAATGTGAGAAGGTATTTCACAAAATGCATGTGTGTGAGGTACATATTTTGTTTTGTTTTACAGGAGCAAAATGTGTATATTTATAACTTAGAAGGCGATACTTTGAAAGAATCTGATAAATTGTCTTGTAAAGGGGCAATAACTCAAGTGGCTTACTCACCAGATGGTGCTAACCTTGGTGTCGGTGATGCTGGTCGATATGTTCATGTCTTCAACACAACTGATCGTAAGGTAAATACAATTCTTATTGTTATTTGTCCCCGATTTTCAGATCGGATTTGAAATGGCCAATTGGCAGCCTTTTTGTTTTTATGAAGGCGGATCTAGTGTCATATCTCTGACATGCTTTGACAGGTTATGTTCAAATTTTATATATTCATTATACATCATGTAATAGATATACAGAATTGTTGGTTTAACCATCTGATTTAAAATGACCGAATGGTGGTCATTTTGCTGCTGAAAAACCATCAAAAATCAAGCATTTCTGGCATTCCAAAACTGGATCTTGGTCGTTTATGAATTGGTTTCGTTCAAACTTTGTACATACATTAGACATTGTTGGTTCTTGATATATGCTGACTGGTGGCCATTTTGTTTTAATGAATGTGGTTTTAGACATGTTTTGACTGATTATGTTCAAATTTTATATATTCATTATACATCATGTCATAGATATATGATTTGATTCAAAATGGCTGACTACTTTTCTGTTTAAAATTAATGCTGTTCCAGAGTAATATCTCTCAATGTGGACAAGTACTTGTTTGACGATCAGGTACAAGATGACTGAATGGTGTCATCAGCATTGTAAACAAAAATGACACAAAATTCAAATTCGAATGACAATGAACAGACAAAAGGCGATCTTTATTTTGAACAGAAAAAGTGATGCCTAAATATGATATGTATACTGTATATATTAAAACAAGCACAATGAACCAATCCACCAACTACAACTAGGTTTAAGCTATCAAATAAATGAAAAACATTGATCTTTCTAAAACACATGACGAATAGAAGGGGCCAACTGGTCAAGGTTTTTAGAAGTGTTCCAAGTTGCGATCCTTGATAGATACCTCAAATTTAAGTGCGATATTCACGAATAATAATGTCAATATGCCACTATAGAAAGACTTGCCGGCTAAAGAATTGTGTTGAGCTTCTAAATCTATATAAGTATCAAAATATGTGGTTTTTTTGGTTTTAAAAACTAGAATATGAAAGGAACAATGAATTAATGGTTTCAATAGTAAGCTCTGATATGAAGAGACTATGCTTCGCGGAAAGCCACACCTTAGACAATAGCCGTTTCCAGACCAGGGATGGAGGGACTGTGATTAAAACAAATCATTCATACTATGAGCGTATTGTACCATGGTCACAGGTCACCATGACCTAGAATGTATGTAAATATAATTACAATCAATTCCATTTTTTGAAATAATGTGGATGAATGACTGCAATTGTAATATATAATCTCTTTTAGGTGGTACACCAAGGATGGTCCTTTCATACAGCTCGCGTGAATTGTCTTGCCTGGTCACCTGATTCCAGACACATGGCCAGTGGTTCATTGGATACAAATATTATTATATGGAGTATGGAAAACCCCAATAAAAGGATTGTTATAAAAGGTATGCTACTCATCTTCTGATATAGGTTGATACTCCAATTGAAATAATATAATATAATAATTATTCAAAGGCTTTGTTCAGGCAATAAGTTTGATTGCAATTCACTGAAGAGTCACAGCAAAGTAATGTAGTTGAGTGTTAAGATTATTTCCTGCATACATTCACATTCATGATCCATGTTTGAGCGTTTCAACAATGTTCTGTGTAGTTTAGGTTTATTTTTTGCTCTGCTGTTGACTTTGTCGAACTGAACTTATCATATGAGTGATTGTCCGTTGTCGTCCATGTCAACTTTTAACTTTTTTCAAATTCTTCTTGAAAACCACAATTATTTGCTTTGATACCATACATATAGATACCTTAGGTAAACATCTCATAGATTTGTTCATTTTGTGATGATATCTTTAACTCTCTAATTTTGATAAATATTTTTGTCGTTTTTGGTAAAAAGTGATATTTTCAAATTCTTGTTAAAAATCGGACGATTGTTTTGATGTTATACATGTAGGTACTTCAGATAGAACTCTCTCAGATCTCAGATTTGTTCATTTTCTAATGATATCTTCAGTTATTTAATTGAAACGTGCATTGCTAACAGCGGAGCTCTCAGCCGAGAGACTGCTTCTTAATAGGATTTTGTAATAGTTATGTTGTTAGTGATCCCTGTAACTAATTCTATGATTCTCTCTGTAGGTGCACACAAAATGAGTCAGATAACATCGTTGGCTTGGTTGAATGACAACACAGTTGTATCTACAGGACAAGATTCCTGTATTAAACAGTGGACCTTGACACTCCATTGAAAAGTGCCTTACTTCTAATTATCATATATTGGATTTAGCAGCCTGATCCCACGAATGGCCTTGTTAATTATTTCCAGAAAATAGTATCCTGCGATGCTGTTAGCTAATGTGTCAATGACTGCATCCAGCAATTTTTTTTTTGGGGGGGGGGGCAAAAAAGTTTAGTTGGAGGAGGGGGGGGGGGGCAAAATTGTCAATTGGGCTTTTTTTTTTGTTGGAGCTTACAGCTTGGTGGTGTTCCCATGATACATCTCACTTATGTGCACAATTTGACATTTATAAAACTTTAATAATAATTTTAATTTTTAGGTAATACAGCTCTATAATTGCGACGAGATAAATTTGATATTTTTTGAAACATTGATTAACCCATTTACCCAATGTTTTCAATCTCACTGTAAGTATAATCTTGTGACCTAAATTTGACTCTGGTATAAACGATTCTTCTGTCTTGCTTAAGCAGGCAGCCTTCTGAGATGTACCATGGGATCCACATCTTGTGGCCCAGCTGCAAAATAAGCAATGAAGGCCCATGTCAGGTGGCCACAAGTTAATACCATTGTCTGTGCTGTGTGCACTCAGGGTGTATCTGTTGTTTTCCCATTGAATTTTAAATCTCTGAAGTCTATCTGTTCCAGAATGAAATTACACATTTATCAGTGTTCTAAGTGGGTTGGAATTGTTCTATCAGTTGAGAAAGTATGAAATAGTTACTCATCCATGTGGATGTAGTATTTTGTTCCCCTTGTACTGGAGACAGTGTACTCAAATGTTTATTATATTTGAATACAATTATGTATTGTCACTTGTATTTTCTTACATTGTCTCATAAGAGTAAAAAACCCGAGACAAAAATTTAAACCATGAGGTAAATGTTTTATGTATTATGTCTGGTGAGAACACTGATTTATATAGTTTCTTTCAATTTCATTTCCATGATGCAGTCTGCTTTAACATCTTGCAGAATTAACCTTTTAATCCCAAATAAATATTTAGTGAGTGGCAAATGTTATCCAATAACATGCACCGAGGACCAATACACCCAGCCTTGAGTTATGCTATTATAGCATTTTTACGTGCCGATCAGGTTATTCTGATACTGGAAGGAACAGAAACTAAATAGACTAAAGATCTTTTTATTACTATTGCAGGCAGGAAAGCTGTGTGGTGGGCTCAACAAATTTTGTAGGTCTGTCTGTCTTTTCCTGGAATATTGACCAGTTATTCAGATAATGAATTACCAAGATCTTGAAACAATCTCTCACGCATTGTAATTTTTAAAATTTACTTTTAAAGTGCCAATAATGTAGAGCCTCATATCCATATGTATTGTAGACTTTTTTTTTTATATATATATAAAGCAATTACAATTGTCTTTGCCTCACCCTGCAAGAGGAAAAGCAATAAATATATTACATGGAAAACGTTTTCTTTAGTCCGATCTCTTGTCAATGCTATAATTTGTAGTGTTCCACTTGCTATATGCTATTCCACTATAATTTGTAGTGTTCCACTTGCTATATGCTACTCTACTATAATTTGTAGTGTTACACTTGCTATAAGCTACTCCACTATAATTTGTAGTGTTCTACTTGCGATAAGCTATTCCACTATAATTTGTAGTGTTACACTTGCTGTATGCTACTCCACTATAATTTGTAGTGTTACACTTGCTGTATGCTACTCCACTATAATTTGTAGTGTTACACTTGCTGTATGCTACTCCACTATAATTTGTAGTGTTACACTTGCTGTATGCTACTCCACTATAATCTGTAGTGTTCCACTTGCT